AGCGTCCGGGAGAAAGACGTCTCCTGATGCCGGGTCATTGTCGGCGGAGAGCGAGGTCTTCCATGTGAGGGAAGTGTGGACCAGAGAATTATCCTTTCTGAGAGGTTATATTTACTCACGGAATCTGGTGAGTACCCAATGCTTGGGGGGCTGCTCGATCAAAAGGAAGAGAACAGAAATAACTTTTCCTTTTTACCACTAATACGATTGTGTATTGAACACTGTCACTTTTCCACTGATATCTGTTATTTCACTTTGGGACTTTTATTAAGTATCAGTTTACAACCGGCACAGTATTTTTTGCTTGCTACATTGTGATTCATTCTTTCAGAATTACAATTTACAATTGTTTGGTTCATTTTTTTTCAATGTTAATTAGCACACTTTATAGTTTACTCATCATAAAGTCTGAATCTGAACACATTTATATATTGACAATGTATAGATCAGATTTTATTCACCAATTTGTATATTTATCACTATACTATTAATAAAAAAAAATATATACACATATATATATATATTTTTTATCAGTATTGTAAATTTCTAATTTCGTTTCCATTAGGATGAAATTCGTACTGAATACGAAATTACGAATCCGAAATTTCGGACTCGGATGCTTTCGGATGAATTCGGACATGGTAAATTTCGTAAATACGGATGCTCCGAATCCACGAATTTCCGAAAGTGAAGTCAGTGAAGTAGTCAGTTAAGAAGTGATCCCTTACATTGATGGTCAGTGTAGTGCCCCCTACATTGGTGTTCAGTAGTGATGTATTTCCTTACATTGGTGGTTGGTAGCAAAGGTCATTGACCTCTTATATTTGTGATCACCAGTGAATTGCTCCCATACAATTTTGGTCAGTGGTGGAGTGGTTAGCAGTGAAGCGTTACCTTACATTGATGGTGAGTGGTGAAGTCCCTCCTTACATTGGTGCTCAATGTCAATATGCCCACTTGTCTTAATGATCAGTGATAATTTCTCCTGGTTGTCACTAGTACACTCTGTATTTTAAAGTGGTATTCTCTGTACATAAAAAGCATAACAAATTATTGGCAAGAGATACACTTTAGTTCAGATCAATACAGATGACCTATAATTGGATGTTATATGCATAGTTATCAATGTTCAAGGAAAAATTGCAATTGGAAAAAATGGCAATGCATTTAATGTGCCACAGCAAACAATTAGCTGCGCTGTGCCTGTTGAAAACTTCTGACCAATATGATGATAATGAGACAATTTGGAAAATGGGGTGGGAGACCCACAGGAAGGGGCACCTATGGCTTTTTAGGTATTTGTCACTTAGAGTTTTACTTTATGCTTATTTGTACTACATAAGTCTGATATCTCTTCATTATCTAATTTCCTTCACGTTTCATGTTTCCAGGGCATATCTGCAAAATAAAATAGAGAAAATTATTGGTTGTTAGGAGCAAGACAAACACTCTAAAGGGGCCCATTCACACCATGTTACATCTGTTGGTGTGCTGCAGTGCCATTTATTGTGAATGGCACTCCAATACACCTTCAAAATGCAAAGGCGCTGCTTTGCACCTCAGTGTAGCACGAGGAGCTCTGCATATTAGCTGTGCAAAAATGCAGCCTGTTTCATTTTCTAATGCGTTGAAGTGTGCTGCAGCCCATTAATTATGAAAGAGCTGCCTAACGCAGAGTGCTACAACACACCTTTGAATGTTCCCTGACAGCCATGAGATCCAGTAAGGTTTTTTAAATAAGTATTAGCGCAAAGTGACTGCTTGCCCCATAACAAATAAATTGTCTAGCCACATAGACAGTATGTAGATTTCTGTCTAATAGTTTCCAGTTTAGCATAGATGGAGGAATCTCCATATGCCATCTACTACTACCTGCGGCTGTCTGCATACCCGAAAAGTGACTGCAGCTGATTGAACACAGCCATTGTTCAGCCAACAATTTTTCCCCTGGGTTCTTCAATTTTTTAGTCAGTTTGTCACGCTGGGTGGAAACCAAACGGTGTATGGTCAGCAATACTATTTCTGAAACCATTTTTCTAAGACAATTGCTAGTGGTTTGAGCTATTAAATAGAAAAACTTATGACAAATGGTATTTTTTTCAGATTCTGCAGCAATATTGCACATTATCTACTTTTTTTATTTTCTTACATTCTAGTAGAGTCTAATGATAAGACGGTATGACGACAGTTGTATTGATTGGAACATATTGCATATGCATATATTGTTGTATTCTATTCTCTTAGCAATTAAGAACTTATTTTCTTTTACTTTTGATTTGACTCATACGCAACATGTTTGTTGAAGACAACAGCAGGAATCACGGCTCCTGCTGTTACTTAAACTTGAAGCTGTGGTTTTCTATTTCCAGACGTCGTTGTGTCTTTATTAAGGGGACAATAAAGATAAGGCAATAGGAAATAACCCTAATTTAACATGCTGTTGTATAAGCAAAAATACTTTGAGAGAGGCAAACTATTCCAATATTTCAAGATGTGAGGGAACTAATTCTAAAGGCTACGTAATTACTATAGCAATTCACTTTCCATTCATTTAATTTGTTTATATAGCTTAAACATTTTATCCTGTACCAAAGGAGCTGATTTTCTCACTACAACTATCCAGACATGCAAACATGCATACATATATACATAGGGTCAATGCAAATGGAGGCCAGTTGCTCTTTCAGTGTATTTTTTAAATGAAGGTGCCAAGAGAATATACAGTATATGCATACAGTATATGTGGGGAAAGTGCACCTAGGATCCCAGTGCTGCAATAACATAGTGTTAGCCATGTTTACACTATGCTGCCATGTAATAAACAAAAGATCCATGTGCAATATGTATATGTTGTATGTGAAAGTCTACAAGTATCATTTAGTACACAACCTGCCAAAACATCTGAACAATGTTTGCGTGCCCATGAATAACTACTTATGGACAAGGCTTTTAGCTCCAGTCCTCGGTCGCCATACACAGGCCACATGATATATGTTCCCAGAATGACGGCACTGGGTTTTTATGAAGGACCCCATTCAGTACACTTCACTGGGAAACAAACAGGTCAATACAGATATAATAAAGTACAGAGGACTTTTCCTTCAGTGTCTTAGCACAGTGTGTTTGTGTGAAGGAGCTCCAATGAAAACAGAGGATTTACTCACATCTATTAATTTTTTCTTTGCTCGAAAATGATTAGAAGAAGTCATAGCACTCTTATTAATAATTACTACAGACTTAACAGATGCAGACCATACCACTGTTATGAAATGAGAACATGATACAAAGCAGAAATGCAGAAGTAAAAAAAAAAAAAATAGCTCACTGGTAGTAAATAGCAAATACACCTTTTGCTGCAATTCTCATCATCAATCCAGAGCTCTCCCACACAGAACTTCTGTTCTACCAAGATGTCTTCCATCTTCTGGATTCAGTGACTGCTGACATCATTCAACCCACTGCCAATGAGCCCAGGCTGCCATAGACCCACCCACAGCCTGTGATTGGACAGTGAAGAAGAGCTCATTATCTTGTTTTTTCCTTCTATCATCATGCTCCTTCTCAGCACATGAATTGATTGGCTCCTTGTGCTGCTTCTTCCTCTGCTACTCTGAACTCTGCCACACAAGGACTACAAGAAGCTTATATCAATCACATTCAAATATACTTCTTGTATTTAAAACATGCATTTAATTATATATTCATAAAACTGATTTCAATTGTGTCATTCCTATCTGCCTAGAGTTCATCTTTAAAATTTGTCTTCAATATATAATGGCTTAATGGTATCTGCATGATGTTGGTAAATGTCCCCATGTTTGTGTGGGTTTCCTTTGCACTAGTTATCTTTCCCAAGCCCTATAGTGGGAGGTTGGTATCCCTGCATCTAAATTAGTAAGAGTTTTATATTAAGCTCATTATAGACATTCTAGGCAATTATTATTTACCCTCCCTGGTCATTCATTTTTTGTTTATATAGAAAAAAAATATAGCATTTGTAGTCAATTTTGTTGTTTATGGTTTTGATATGAAAATTTATACATGTATGAAAAGGAAAAGCCTAAATATAAAAAAAGCAGCACTTCCCAGAGATAACTATATAGACCTCAAGATACACTTGATTGAACAACACTGCAATACTATTAAATAGAATTTCCAATTAATCAATATTCACTAAAACAGGTCAAACTCACAATATTGAATCAAGTCTTAAACCACATGTATGAGTAAATGCTAACGTACCTCAGAAAATCTGAAATCCATTTTAATTTGCAAAACAATTTGGTGAAATATGGATTTTCGTCCCCTTTCCAAGTCTTTCCAATGGATTGGTTTGTAGTGGATTTAAGTCATCACTCTATGCATCAATTCTCTATGCATCAACATTCATAGTAGTGCTGCTGTACAATGAAGCAGAAATATTTTCTATTCCTTTGCTTAGACATCATTGTGTGGAACAGTATGGATTTGGTGCCATGGGTTAATACTAGGGAGCTATGCAATATATTATAATTGAAACAAATAAAGCATGAAGATAGTGATAATACTCTTGTCATTATTGTGGATAAAGCATGAAGTAGCAGGGTACTATTTGTTATGTGAAATATACCTGTAATCTGGAACTTGTCATCCCGAATGTCTGGAAAAAAGGATGTACAAGTGTAATGGCAATGGACTGCAAACCATACCACCCAAGTCTGATATCTTAGGGCTCGTTAACACTAGGCAAGTTACCATACATTTTGCTTTTAGTGATTAAGGCAAAATGCATTGACAAATGAAAGCTATTTTAACTACTGCCCTTTATGGTTACAGTCAAGTCCTAGAAAGTCTGTTCAAAGATCTATTTAAAGCCACAGAGCAAACCATGTGAAAACACATGCCTATGCATGTTTGTGTGAGAGTAAACCCTATTAAACACAAGTGATTCTGTCGCTGACAGCAAGTTAATATTGTCAGGATCACTAGAGAGGACAAAAAGACACTCACCTGTTTCTACATCAGTCTCTTTCTGTCCATGCCAGTGAAGTGCTGGTCATGTGCTGGCTGAAATGCTGCAGAAAAAAACAAACAGAAAAAGGTAGAAAGCAACACCTTGCTGGTCTGGACAATGAGGGGGCAATGCCATAGACACAGGTGATGTTTTTTTTTTTTCTAGCAATCTTGCCACCAGTGAGTTGCTACTAGTGACAGAATTGCTGGAGTGCCATAGGTCGTACAGTGTGAATGGATTATCAGATTTTAGTAGAACTGGCAGTGTCAGTCACTAAGATTTGCCTTCCGCTTTATGCCAATCCATGTGATCACCCACCTCCTGCTGGGTTTCCCATAGACAAATCTGAAAAACACACTTGTCAGGGTACTGCTGCAGGGCATGTTTCAGCATGCAATCATAGAGTCATTTTCAGCTGTGTGAGTGTATGCGCATGCACATGTGCTTGGGCACAATGTGGCATGCATGCACATGGGTGTGTACTCCCAATTCCAGTGGATGAAGAACTATTCAACATCCGGAGTATCAGAAAGTTGGTGGATGGTCTTCAGCTATTTACCCTGTAATTTGAGTTACCCATTGCTAACCAGGCTTGCCTTGGACCTGCCTTTACTCTACCATCCTGTTGGTGACCAGGCCTGCTTCCTGACCAGGGCTTGTTCCTTATTTACTTGCTGCTGACCTGGCCTGCTTCCAAACTACAGTTGGCTCCTCCTGTCTACTTCCTTCTCCAGTGTGATCTTACCCTGCTTCATGACTATAGCCCTGGCTACTCCCTGCATGGTACCCCCTGCTGCTGACTCAGTTTTCTCCTCATAAGCACAGTAGTCAACTGCTACCCTACACATGTATACAGTAGCTGCCACATGCTGACTTCAGCCTCGCTAAACTAAGCATATTAGCTCCTTAATGTGTTCTGATCCCGATCATTCCGCCAATTTGTGGGAGACTTCCATCTCAGGTCTTTCCTGCCCTTACACTCCCTCTCACCTCACGACAGGTGTTTTGACTAGAATTGCAAGGGAGGCACAATCCTCAGTTCAGCCTCCAAAGATATGTGATAACACTTCTGACCAGGGTGATCATGCCTTTTGCAGCAGATCTATTTTCAGTGATATATTTATCATGCAAAATGCATGCATGTTAAATTACTTTGCAGGAGTAACAGTTATCATTCGTTGAGATCACAGTACTCTTCCTCACAATGCTTCCTGGACTAGGGTGATGGTTTACAGATGACACAATACTGTAGAACCCAAAGCCTGTGCAGTAACCTTAGAGCCCATGCTCACCATTGTGGTGCGTTAACATCTGTTGGATTAAAGTGGAAGTAAAGTTTAAATTACAAAGAACACTGACAGGGTTTTTTATGACACAAGAGACTCCGCATGTCACTTCTGTCATAAATGCTTCCTTCCTGCCAGTCGTTGTTTGTGTGCACTGAGCTTTGCATGAGCTGCTCAGTGCACAAGCTAGTTAAGGTCCTCTGCCAAAATGTAACTCCTGTGGGCATGCAGGAGAATTACATCATTACAACCCAGCCATCTGGTGGAGGAAGAGAGTCCCAACATTGCAGCATTGAGGGGATCATTTGCAAGGTAAGTCACCCATAATGTGCATATATGGTGTGCATACTAGCGAATGATGGGAAACATAATTCTGGATACCCACTATTCCCATTTGGGAAACACCTCCTGGGGACTCACTTAAAAATTACATCTGTAAAAAAAACCTAAAATAAAAGCTCCAAACATTCATTTGAATCCATAGTCATATGACGCACTGGGTTCCAATCTTTTTCCTGGACTATGTAGTGGGAGGGTCCTTCGTCCTGTGCCAACTTCCCATGAATGTCTTTTTGCATGGTCCTCTCAATCTTAAAGACCACCACTGAAGCGTGATAACTTCACAAAGAGGGCCGGCAAAAAGACTGGTCAATGGCAGGCCTGAATATATTATTGGTTGTCATTCATGGAAGAGGCGATGTAGTGGATCGCATGACCCCCGGACTCAAGACTTTAAGTTGTAATTGTTTTATTAGGTTTTGTTACCTATTTTTATATGTATGCATGTATGTATGTATATATATAGATATATATATATATAGGCCTGGACAAATGCAGATCCTATGAGTAGATATGTGATTCTTTATGACTTGTCTTAAAGCTGAACTCCAGAATAAGCAAATATTGTCTAAATACCAGAGACATGTGTATAGTGAAAACCTTACATCTGTGCCAGAACTTCTTCTAGTAAAGACCAATCAATGCTGTTTTCTCGCTTTGTGCAGGGTGACCAGTCTAAGTTCCACCCCTTCTATAGTTTTCTGCAGGCAGTCTCTAGTAGATGGACCTGCTGGACCCTCAGACAGCTCTGCTCTCTGCTCAGACTCTGTGCAATACAATGATGATACAAGTGCTACTTTTAGGTAATATCCGGGTTTGTAAAGACATTTTGTGTACATAAAGTGAATTTATATCCTTTGTGGCTATTGAGGAATATAATTGGATGAAAGTTTTTGTGCCTAAAGTTCAACTTTAACCATTGATCTATGAACCATAGCTAGATGCAAGTCAAAATCTATCCATTAGCATTTCCAATGACTAATGACAACAGGCATGCAGCACTATCGAATTTTGTTATCAAAGTTCATTTTAGCATGAATATAAGGAAAAGCCCCATTGCACTTTCTGTCAATGTTTGCATGAATGGGGTTAGTGGTCTGAATTGTGTTTCTTGATCCATGTTAAGCATATCTGTGCTTTAAGCAAACGTGCTGAGAGGAACAAGGAGGCTGCCACTGCTGACATTTTGACCCTTTTGCAATTGCTAGTTGCCTGGCTGTCCTGGTGATGCAACCATGTCATAATTCAGTGCTACTGAAGCAGAACAAATATGCAGATAAGAATTTTTATTAGTTTAAAGTAATTAAACATGAATTATGAATTGAGATTGGTAGCTAGGTGACTCAGCACTTTTTTTTTTTTTTAATAACCATGTTAATGCGTCCACTCTTGTTCTTCATGTCACTATGGTATGAGGTGGTTGGAGCTCAGGAGAAGGTAAAGAAAAGAGAACTGGCTATTTTTATGAGGCTGTGTTTGGAGCCCAAGTTTTTGGCTATAGAATGTACACAGGTGATGGAAATGGATAATGTCAGGTGTGATCTATTCAATAATAATAATAATTTTTGAGATGTTCTCATCTAATAGAAAATCTGGCCTCTTCTGAAACCTCTCTCACTCTGTAGTTTCCTGCTCTGACTTGGGGGTTGTCTCGCTCTCTACCCCATTTCTATTGGTCCCTCCCCGTCCGCGCCCATGATTGAGTGGTGGTCAGTGGTGGATACAGCCATCTTTACAGACTATTAAAGACAGTAGCCCTTTTCCCTGAAGAAGCGGATCTCCGTGAAATGCATTGAAATCTGTTCTACTCCCACGGGACTACAAATTAAACTAAGCTGATATCCAGCAAATTGTAACAAGTATCGTAATATTAAAAAAAATTGTGGGAGGATGCGGCTACATCCTATGGTCTCTTTTAGGCAATCTTGTTTGTCTTTCTTTTTTTAAAACTATGCATTTTAAATATATTTATAAATATAAATTATTATACTTTATATAAAAAATCAAATGTGTTTTGTGTGATCCTTGAAGTACCTTAAAAGTCCAAATCCTCCTTTTTTTCTTTTTTATGATCTTGTTCTTCATGACAATTCCCATTTTTTTCCACGTGCAGATAGTAAGACTGAAAAATACACATAAAATGCATGGCTGCATTTAGACCATAACCCAATAAAATATTCAAAGCTATCAAAGAAAAAAACGAGTTCAGCAAGGGTCCAAACAATGGTCTTTTAAATGTAACCCCAAACCCAGCAATGGACCTAGATCTATTAGAATATTGTATCAGCTACTAATTGCAAGGGAAGTAAACAGAGTCTGAGAAGTGTACTTGTGTCATCTCGGTGAAGGCTCCGAGCTTCTCCAAAGCAATTTGCACTGAATCTGATCAATAAATGTCAAGATAAGAAAAGCAATGCAATCGGATCAGCCACATTGATGATATAAGAAAGACAAGACAGTGCTGACCTCAAAATAAGACACTCAATTGTTATCTTTAGTCTTGCGATAAATAAAACCCTGTAACTGACAGGAAATCCAAGCTTGTCTGCATCCCTCAGCTTCTCTTTTTTTTCATTTTCATTTTAATTCTAAATAATCCCAGTACTATTTTTTTTAAAGTAAAAAACTTTTTGATATACAAGACATGGCTGCTATCATTGAAAAGAAATAATATATATGCAGTAAACTCTCAGGATTGCTCTGCTTGTTGTGGACAAGCATAACCTATTTTTTTTACGAAGTCAGTAAAATGCTTCATGTCAAAAGGTTTTTCATCATGATACATGTCATCTAACACAGGTCTGTTTTATCTTCATTTTCTTTTGCTTGATACCAGACAGTCCTTCAAAAAAAAAGTCTGTAGAACCTGCCACCGTGGCAAGGATGTCAATCACATTTTATTGCCTGTTTTCATTATATAGATATTTTATTTCTTCTCATAGAAGCTAATCCAAGGTTAACAATATCTTGCTTAAAGCTTTATAACCTTAAGGGCACATTCACACCATAACATTGTGCTCAACTAGTATGATCCACGTGTTTAGCATACACTATTACACATTGCATAGTACCGTATGCTAGTGCATTGTGTTACCATTCATTTCAGATAGCACCCCAAAACACTTCCGCATTGTGTTACTATGCAGTAAAGGATGGTTTGCTTTCACTACTTTTTATCACTGAACAGTAAAATGTTATTGCGTTCCCACATATTGCATGGTGCTACAACACACGACCACCGGGATGCTTGTTGGTGTGCCAGTCAGAATGGTACTGCACACCTAGTATGCGGTGCCGTGCACTGTGCAATAGTGTGTGCTATATGCACTGATTCTGCACTATAGTGCCGGATCCAAAGAAGTTGTATATTTGTCCACCCAGTCCTCGGATTTAAACAACACCCTTCTACAGCACAGCCCAGTGGTTGATACAGTGGGGCAGGGGCATGACACCCCGCCGTATCGTCATTGCGTGTGTGCGCGGCCACCTGATTGACGCCTGCCGGTGACCATCTTGGTGATGGATGCTGGCAGTGAGAGGAGGGGACGTTCACCCGGCAGGATGAGATATGCCGCCGGCTCCCCTCCTCTCTCCTGACACTGTCGGGTTCTCGGTCCATTACTGAGTGCCCGACTTTTTAGAGGGGGTGACACCAAAATGACTGTTGGTCATTTGGTGTCACCCCTGCAGTGGTGTAACACGGGTGCGGGCCGCACTCCCCGCACCCCCCTTGTGACGCCACTGCAGTGGAGTCATCTCTCCACCCTCAGCCTGCTGACTTGACAGTAAAAGACCAGCAGCATACTAATTATGTTATCCCTGCACTTATTCTGCTCTTTACTCTAATCAGTATGTTCCTCATCAACCCATTTGCATGAAGATGACCTAACTGGCTACCCCCTTCCACTCCCAGTCTGAGATCTGCTGTAAAGTGGATTGCAAGAGACTAATACCAAGTCAAATTCAGGTACTTTCACTAGCTGCATTTAAAGAATGACATGGTTTACTATGACTTATGTCACTTTTCTTATGCAGGGCAGAGTGACAGCCTTTTTTCAAATCAACCCACTTATACTCATCTTTGCCTCACTTGCCCACTGCTCCATTGCTCTTCCGCAGCCTTAGGTTAAACACAGTGTAACACAACTCCATTTCGGAGCAGGACGGAGGTGGGGTTGCAAGAGACTCTGGGGATTGATTTACAAAAGGCAAATAGACAGTTTTTTTTACAAGGAAGTTCTCACTTTGCAATTGAATTTTCATCTAGCTTAGTGACTGGGGTGAAAATTTACTATACAAAGAATACCGAATCACTTGCAAACAAATTTAAAAAAAACTGTATTTTTGGACATGATTGGAAGATGGAAGTCATTAGAGCATTGGTAGACCAACCTTGGCACTTAATGCGGCTGGCTGTCAGAATCTTACAACGTATCATGGGACTTGTAGTTCCACAACAGCTTGAGTGCCAAGGTTGCCTACCTCTGCATGAGAGAGCTTCACCTCATTCACTAATCTAAGGGATCTAAAATCCAATTAATAATCATTGATCCCACAATATGTTGTTTATAATGCCCCTTTTTGCAATATAGTGAATCCAATAGACAGCCACAACAGGTTAACATAGCAGATAATCAATACTTTTATATTCCACTCTGCATTAAGACCATTTGGGGCAACAACGTCTGATGGTCAAAGCAGGTCTAGTATCACTTGATAAAAATGCATGTGTTGCTGCTGAAACTACCTAAAAAAGTATTTTTTTTTAAAATGACAGATAAAATAATGGTAGTTTGGGGTTCTTCTGCTGTAAGCAAAGCAACTTATAAAGAGGAAGCACAGTGGTGTAGTGCTTAGCGCTGCTGCCTTTCAGTACTGGGGATCCCTGGTTCGAATACCAGCCAGGTCATGTCTGCAAGGAGTTTGCAGGTTCTCTAGACTTGTGCACCGTCAAAAAATTTGTTTCGTTTCGGAATATCCGTTATTTCGTAATTCGTGTCCGAAACTCAATTCGGATTCGTATGAAATATGAATTTTCATTAGTTTCGGCACATTTTCGTAACTTTACGAACATTCGTTATGATGAAGTCAAAAAGCAAAAATACCTTTGTTAATATTGGAGTCGATGGTAGTTGTTTTTTTTTATCCGAAATACGAAATTCCGTTAACGGATTTCGGATCCGAATTTCGTAAAAAAAAAACTAACATCAACTGCAATATTAACAAAGGTATTTTGCTTTTTAACTTCATC